TCTCCCCAGTCCCTTGCGCTCCCGCGCATGGCAAGCAACAATGAACTGGCGTCTGCCGAGAGAGCGGCAAGCCCAGCATGCCCTGCTCTTCGCCGCTCTGCCTGTGCACCGCGTGTTGTCGGGTCATTGGTGCCCGCGACCTTGCCCGTGCTCGCTGGGCGCAAGCAAGAGCAATCTTGGGAGACGCCTCCCCGACGGACGTTACGACCTTTCTCCTGGCTTACGCCTGAAAACCGCTGCACAAGAGGAAGAAAGAGCTAGCCAGGGCGGCCGGAGTGCGGCAGGTTGTTGACGCAAGAGGAGAAGGCAGAGGAAAAGGGGGAAAGAAGGGGGGACTTGGCAGCGACTCGAGACAACTCTCATTGGTGAGCGTGTCGCTGACAATGCTGCGGCTGCGCTTTGCGACACCGCGGCCTGCAGCCAGGGCCGCTCGCGAGCTCTTGTCGGGCTGGGACCTCTGCATCAAGCATCATGCGTGCGCAATGTGCGGCGCTGAGCAGCAACACGCATCGCCTATGCTGCCTGTTGTTGCGGACGCAGGCGCTTCGACGGGGAGCGGTGTGCATGTGCAAGGCATTTGAGGCCTCGCTGCGCGTTGTGTATGGCGCAAGCGCTCACAAGCGCACCCGCCTTCTGAGCTCTCGCCAGCGACCGCGGCGTCTTCTGCTGCCAGACAGCTCACCACAGGCCGCGTAGGGAGTGGGTTGGCGCCTCGCCATACATCTGTTGCGGCAAGCCAAAAGCAAACATGGTGAGCGGAGGAGACGAGGGCGGTACAAGCACTAGCTGCCTCAATGTTGGATGACTGCTCAGACGCTGTTGCTGCAATGAATACAACCCGCCCTTTCTGCGGCCCGTCGCTTCTGGTGCACAGCGACACAACAGCCTTGACAAGCAGCGGGCCAGGGTTGATCTGCCAGCGGGCGAGCAGCGTCGCTCGCGTACGATCGAGCCGCGAGGCAGGCGCCACGAGCGCTACAAGATGCGCAAGGCGCACGCAGCGGGTCCAAGCGCTGACAAAGGCAGGTGATGCTGCGGCGGCGTGCTTTCTTCGTCTCAGGCGGCAAGTGAGCGCTTCTCGCTCCGCAAGCGGATTGAGACGGCGAGCAAGACGCAGCGAGGCTTCGTTATCATGTTGCGGCCTGGTTACTCACCTCAGGCGCTGCTTCTCTGCCGCCGTGCATCACACACACAGCGTGTTGCGCGGGAACGGCGGCTCTGCGGCTCTGTGACCAGGCAGTGACCTCCGCCGCTCCCAGCCGTGCGCTACCAACCGAAACTGCGAGCAGGGTCCCCTCGCTCACGTGAGGCTGGGCTCTTGATACCACGACGCTCACGCTCGCTGTCTCGCCGATGCGCCGTCTCTTGCGCCTTTTCTCTTGACTGGTCCGCTGGTGTTGCCCGTGGCTGGCGGCGTCTGGCTGTCGCTGCTGCTGTGCGCGATCTTTTGAGAGCGAGGGGGCTTGCTGCTGTGTCACGAGCCGCACAATGTGCCCTCTGAGCATGTTTGTGGCTCGTTTTTGTGCTGCGAGCGCGGCCAGTGCTCCGCCGCCGCTGAACGCACCTTCTGTGCACTGACTCGTCATTGCTTGCGACTGCCCTGCGCCCGCAGACTGCTATCCCCGCCAGCCCGTCTCATTATGCACGGAGCGTACTACTTGCTGGCAGGAGCCGCCGTACAGCTGTGCCCGCTCAACAGACAAATGACATGCCGCACTCCCATGGCATACTCATCTTGCCATGTCACGCGTGTCGCGCACGTTATCGTGGAGGCAAGCTACCGGAGGACGGCAGCCCGCCTTGCTGCAATCTGCTGCGGACTCCGTGGTACTCCACTTGACGCTGCTTCGCTACTCCTGCCGCAGCGGCGCAAGCTTCCTGGCGCGTCCAGGTGCTGGCGCTGCCTGTGCTGCGTTGCGCACCTTGCCGTGAGCACGCGCGCGGCTTGCACTCTTGGCGGCCTATGCCCGCCCCTGCGCGTCATGCATGAGCCTCCCTCCAGCTGCCAGTAAATGCATTTCGAATCTTGCCTCATTTTGGATCGAGATTGAAGCTGCTTAGTGTCGTACCTCGACGGCCCGGATGCCGGCAGAGCGTTTGGCTGAAGATTGACAGACGACGCGATGGCGGTGCGCGCTGCGGTGGGGACGCGCAGCGCATCGGCGCGCGGTGGTGGGAGCGCAGGTGCAGCAGCGCGAGGCCAGCCGCTCCGCCGAGTCACCGACCTGCTGCCAGGCCCACGGGTCTTGCGTGGCGGTACTTTTGATAGCAAAATCGGGACCTGGGCTGTCTTAGCTAGATTCTGGGCTCGACATTCCCGCACACAAGCTCAGCTGATAGAAGTGTGGCCCTGAATGCCGTGCGCGGCGCGTCTCTGCACGCCCGGTTCGCGTGTACCTGTGACGAAGAGATCGCTTCGGGTGCAAGCAACAGGCCGGCTTGCGAGAGGACCTGTAGAGGACCTGTATTACCGTTCCAGTCCGCAGAAATATGCATGGTACGGTACGACCTGAGAGCGCAAGTGACAAGACAAGGCCGCCCTGGAGGCCGCGGCTGCAGTCTGGCTGCTTTCGCGACGCACCTGGAACCCGCCTTGCGCCCCCCTCTCCTCTCTCACCCGCTTTCTCTGTCCTCGCCAGTCTCGCCAGCACTCTGGTGAGTGTTGGTACAGCGAGCTGTTCGCTTGTCTGCTCGCGCCCGGTCGCAGTTGCCGTAGAGAGCGCCGCGTGCACCGCTGGCATTGTAGGCCCTGCGCACTCGCCTTGCCAAGTGAGCTCGACGTTTCCGTCTTCGCCACGTTCTGTGCGCTCTTCGATGTACCCTGCCCACCGCTCATTGCGTAGCGCTACTTTGTGTGGACCATGGCAACGCATTCCTCTCACGGGCCTTCCTGACGGCAGACGTCGACAAACCCCAATGGTCTCCATTGGCCGCCGACAGATGCGACACCCCAAGTAGCGTCGCACGCAGCTGAATTGTCCGACACTCTCCGCCATGGACGGCGCGCGGCGCACTCATCTGCTGTGGCGACCAGACCTTCCCCCCCCCCTCAACAAGTCTCGCACCCCGCGCCACTCTCTGCCGGCTCCGGGCGCCTCAGTCGCTCTTTGACGGACCCGGTGCGAGGCACCACCGCGAAAGCCTATCTATGTGCCCGTGATCTCGCTTTGCTTCCTGAAGCTGCCCCTCCCCGCCCTCAGCTCCTGCGAGAGCCGCGTGAAGCCTCTGCATATGTCGGACAGACTTCGCCACCCTCGCTAGGCAAGTAGTCATGCCGGGCTGGCACTGTGACCGGCCGCGTCTCACTGCTCATCGGCGCGAAGCAGACTCGGCCTCATTTCATTGCGAGACGACCCGCCTCGTGCGCCCACCTGCACGGCTTGCAGGTTCGAACGTCGTCGTTGCCTTGTGCGCCCGTCAGTTGCCCGTTCGCGGGACTCGCAGAGGGCGAGCGGTCCGCTCCACGTGGGCTCGCAGCAGTGCGACGATAGCCCGCCAGAGAGAGGAGAGCAGCTGGGCTGGGCTTGCTGCAATCGCGCGCACCGACGCCGCTAGCGAGTGATCCGAAGCAATCTGCTTGACGTGGGTGTTGTGTGCCGCTCCGTCGTTGCTTAGTCAACACGACGCTAGAAGTGCTGCGCTTCCACGCGGGGATGAGGCGCTGCTGCTGCGAGCAGGCTTGGCGACGTCGCGACAAGAGCGCAGAGGCGATGAGCGAAGAGGCGAATGGCGCAGCTTGCAGCCGGTGTCGAGACCCATCGCACGCGGCCTTCAGCGAGAAGGCGCACACAAGGCGGCGCGGTTGCAAGACCACACGCCCAGCAGCGCAATTGAGGCAAATTGGCTGCGGATTCATGCGCCATCGGTGCCAATGCAGAGCAGGGAGAGCACTGCAAGCGCTGCCAGTCCATGCGCTCGACGAAATCCGACGCCGGCATTCGCTTCTCGAGCAGCACCGCGTCGACCTGGCAGAGCGGCACGGTCGCCTCCAGAGCAGGGAGCGTCGGCCTCACAAGTCCTTCATTCTGCACAGCGACGCCGCTGTGATGCGAAGCGTCAAGTTCCGGGCGCAGTAAGCCTCGCTGCAACTCTTGCTGTGCGCTGCCCACATGCGCTGGCCGTTCCTGAGCGGTCGCTGCACGCAGCGCTCTCGCAACGGAACGAGAGACAGCGCATCGAGGGAAGCCCCTGGGAGCAGGCTCTTGCTTGCCGCAGCCGACCGTCGCACACTTCGTCGTCCATGAAGCGCGGGCGAGTCCGGCCCCGTCCACGCGACGACGCGTCTGCGCATTGCTGCGCGCAAGACGTCACGCAGACACTCAGCCGCACAAGCGTGGAGCCATTGCAGCCGCCGGATTGAAGGGTTCTTGAATGTGTCGCGGCCAGAGGACCAGCCGCTTCGTGCAGGTGCGCCTCGCGCGGCCGTCGTTCCGAGCGACGCGGCACCGAACGAGCGCGGCCCGTGCACGGCTGCAATAGACCTGCCTCATTCGGACCACCAGCCATGTCAACGTCGCCGTCCTGCGGCTGCCGCTCTGGTCCGCGCGTATTTGGCAGTGCGCTGCCGCTGTGTGTGCCCTCCAAACACGACGCCGCGCTGCCGTTGTTGGCGCGGCCCCCGCACTGGGCTGCTGCTGCCACTGCTGCGACCGGCGCTTCTCCTTAGCTCTCCTCCACCATCACCTCGTCACAGCACAGCGCCGCTCCCCCCCCCCCCCCCCCCCCCCCCCCCCCCCCCCCCCCCCCCCCCCTTCCCCGCTGCCCGTGTCTGTAGTGCTCGCAGCGGCCGAGCAAGCTGACTAGCCTTCGCAGCATCACCCGCGCCCATCCCTCTTTGCTGTTCTTCCCGTAGCCTGGCCGCGCCACGGTCCCGTCGCACGCCGCACGCACAGTCACCGCCGCCGCCGTCGCCACCCCTCGAGCCTCTGCGCGTGGCCTCTGTCTAGTCTTCCCACGCCCCTCCTTCGGCGCTCACTCCTACTCCTCTCCCGCTCGCTGCCAGCTTCGCGAGACCCGCACTCTGCTGGCAGCTCGCTCCTCGGCGCGACAATCGGCTGCACAGCGTCCTGCGCTCTTTGCCGCGCTGCTTAGGCTGCGCTACTCACTTCCTCTTGAGCTCCATGCCTCACCCCGCCCCTGTCGTGGCGGACGGCAGCCTACGCCTGACCTTCCGGCCGCTCTTCGGCGCAGGGTCTGCTGCACCTGCGGCCGACCTGAGGCAGCAGACCGCCGCGCGCGTCACCGCGCCACGGCGCCGGCGTTGCTCCACTGCAGCGCACCGCCAATGAGCGGACAGGTGATGGAGCGAGGTGAAGCGACGCTCTGACATTGCGATGGGGGGTGATGTGGAGGTCAGGCAGCCCGCCGCGCGCGGCGCGTCACGGGTATGCCGCTGCGCGCCGCTGCGGCGCCTGCTTCTGCGCCCTCGCCGCGCGCAGACGCGTTCCGCGAGCCGCGCCGCAGCTGTCCGCCAGCCGCTACAGCACAACACCTCTGCTGTCCGGCTTGCTCAAGCTGCAGCCTGCGCTCGCTTTACGCATCAACACTCTCCTGAAGCTAGTGTAGCAGGTCGTCGCGGTCGGCGTGCCTCACGGCAAGGAAGAGCCGGGTAGACAGCACATCGCAATGTACCACAGCTGCCCTGCACGAAGCTGAGCGCGCTCCGCCCGACCCACAGCTCGCAGAGCAGCGTGACCGCATGCGTTGGCAGCAAGAAGTGCCAGCCGCAGCGCGCATCGCCTAGACAGTCCATTCTCACCGAAGCCTGCGAGGCCTGGTGTCCATAGCTCCGTCACTCACAGCCCCTGTTCGAGGCGTTGGAGCTGCCAGGAGGCAACGCTTTGCCTGGGGACCTTTGCCCAGCACTCTGCGGTCAGCTCGGCGCGCTGATCCTTATCGGCGCGCCGACAGGTGCAGGACCTGTCGCAGCGGCCTGTACAGCTACTGCCCTGCACTCTGAGTGGCTGGCGCAGGCTTCGTACCTGGCGCGGTCCGTACCTTGAAGCCGCACGATGTGTTGAGGAAAGACTTGTCCGCCGCGACAGTCTCGACAAGCGCACTAGGGTGTGCAGTAAGGCACCGATTGTGCTGCATGCCTGCTGAATGGCGCGCGCAGCCGGACAACTCGTTGCCGGCGCAGAAATCATTCATGGACGCCGCGCGGCGCGGCCGTCCGAGGCGCATCGATTTACTGCGCGAAAACGGGGCCGCCGCGTCGACGTGCCCGCGACACAGAACCTTAGCAGGCTTAGCAGGGATGCGGTGAGCCCGCGCAGCGCTGCCGCCGACACCTGGAGCGTTCACGGTTGAACAGCTGCACAAGGCGAATGGAAGAGCTCGACATTGCCCTCCAGACAGTGCGGGGCTTGCCGTCTGTCCAGTGCGGTCGAACGTCTCCAGAGCCAGCGGTGATGCGGCAAAGCTGTGCACACAAGCGAGTAATGCGAGCGTCTGCGGCACGGATGAAGAGCGATAGAGGCAATGCAACGGTCCCACGACAATGTAGAACCTATCCAGCGCCTGTGCCCGATCTGCTGCATCATCAGCGTAAGCGACGACTTGCGGCCCGACACACCGGGAAGGGTGCTGTCTCAGCTCTCTTGTCCGGCCATGACGACTGGACGCTGCGCGGAGCTCGTTGTGTCACGCGGGATAGAAGCGATGCCGTTGCATCGTCGAGCGCAAACGGCCTTGCGTCACACCATCCGGGCAAGAGGCGGAGCTTGCGCGCCCTTTCGGCACCAAGGGACGCGATGGGGCACACAACAGGGCTCTGGCATGCATGCATTGACAGCGGTGAGTGTGGGCCGTGGAGGCGACAAACGGTCAGTGCATAGACCCGGGCAGGCCTGGAGTAGCGCTCGGCGGTTGTGTGTGACAGCCGAAGCGTCAAGCTCGTCGAGGCACCGCCGGCAGTGGCGGATGTGCTAGGTAACACGGTGGGCTGTGATGAGGGGGAGCAGTGAGGCGCGGAGCATGCCATGCTGTCTGATCAGCATCTCGCGCGCATCGCGAGGTCGATGTTGCCCTCACTCGCGGCCGGGTGACGCGCTAGAAAGACAGTAGGTGAAGACACGGAAGGCATGTGTGATGTCCGCCATCAACGGCAGGTGAGCGGGCGGTCAGGGAGCACAAGGCACGCTAAGGTAGAGCGGAGGACGGGTGAGGTGCCACGGAGGGTGACGAAGAGCTTGGCTGACTGCACGACGCTGGACGCTGGCGAGAGCACCTCGAACGCGACTCACTCGACCTTGGCGACGAGGCGCGTCCTCGGCGTGGCGATCGCGAGAGCGCGGAATCGAATGGCACGTGCGTTGAACGATGAGCCCGGCGAAGCTAGTCGAGGCGTCGGTGGTGACCGAGCATGCTCGTCGCCGAAGCCGCGGCGTAGCGAGGCGCGACAGGGACTCTGGCGAGATCGACGACGAGCAGCCGCTGCTTCGGCGAAGTGCACTGTCTGGATGCAGTCGAGCGAGAGCTGGCCTGCGCGAGAGTGACACCGAGCGGCCGGGCACGCCGAGCGCGAGCAGCGACACACGAGGTGAGAACGAGGAGCCTGACGCGCCACGCCGACTCATGACGGACAGGACCTCTTTGCTATCCAGCGCCATGCCCACCAACTCTCTGCTCGACGACCGTAGCCCGCTCTCGCACGGGCGCATTTCCCTCGAAGGATGCCTGCAGCCGTTCGGCCATCCGGGCGCCAGGCGAGCGATGAACGAGCTCGATCGCGAGGATTGTGGCGCATGCAAGCGCATCGACCGGCCAGATCCTGCAGCTTCCGATCATGACCAATGCTTCGATGCACGGTGGCGGCGAGAGAGAGGCGTGAGCAGCGGTGAGACAACTCAGCTCATCACCCGATGCGCAGTGCGTGACCTGAGCGCGACTGGCGAACCGCGCTGGCGGCTGGCGACGACGTCAAGCTCGAGCCAGGACAGCAGCTGCGACTCAGCGTCAGCAGAGCGATGTAGGCGCTTTCGCGAGGCGAAAAAGGCGTACCTCAGCTCTGAGCAGATCGCGCTGCGCTGCGCAGCCGGCTGGGCTGCTGCCGACGCTGCGAGGGGCCGGCTGAGCCGCGCGGCAGGTGCAGCTGGCGGTGCATGTATGAGCTGAGCTGCTATGAGCCGCGACTGAGTGATCCTGACGTCCAGGGAGAGAGCGGGGGCTTGATGGGCGGGAAGAAAGAGACCCGGGCGCTGTGGCGCTGGCAGACGCCGTGTTGTCGGCGACGCAGCGCGGACCGCGACGGCCATCGGGCTTGCTGCGCCGAGGCCATGTTGGCGCAAGCCGTGTTGTGGGCGGCCAACGCACCGCAGCGGACGGACCGTGTCGCTGACCTTGCGTAGTCAGCCTGCGGCTGCTCCTTGCTGTGGGTGGTGGAGCGAGAACTGCGGGGCGTGTTGACATGCAGGCGGCCCAATTTGGGGTAACGCCCTCGCGTCCTTGCGTGCCAGCATGCGAAGACGCGACTTTGGCTCGCCACGCCCGCCTGCACCTGTTCCTTGCGCCTACCAAGCCTGAGCGGCTGCAGCATCGCTGGCAGGCTCGAGGCCTAAGTATTTTGCACAATATGAGCCCAAAACAAAGCAGCAGCGAGGTTGCCTAGCGCCGGCTTGGGCTGCTGGGCGCCGAAGAGCGTGCCAAGGGCGCGTGAGAATGCTGAGTCAGCACGTCGCCCTGATCCCAGCGCCTCGAGACGCTCCACATGCACCCGGCCCCGTGCCGGTGCTGCGCTCCCGTTGAGGTATCGCATCACCTTCCTCAGGCCCGGGGTGCAGTGACATGGCGAGAGGCATAGTGCTCGATGCCACGCGTCCACGGCCGTGCGGCAAGCATGTCGGCGCTGGTGAGGCGGCGCAGGCCCCTCTGCGTCGCATGCGCAGCTGGCGGATCGACGGCTCCGGTGCCGCCGCGCGGCGGTGCCGATCTGAAATTCGCCGTGCTGCGCACGGCGCCGGCGTTGAAAGGTGCACGGGCGCGCAGCCAAAGTGGAGCTCGGTGATGAGGCCCGGCATCGGGCTCCCCTCGCCATCCTTCCCTCCTCATCACCCCCTCACCCAACACCCAGCATGGCCATCGACCTTCCCGACCTCACCGGCCAGGTGGCGCTCGTCACCGGCGGCAACAGCGGCATCGGTGCGTGCGCGCGTGCGTCGCGCGCCCCCACCCCGCACTCACCACCCTCGCAGGCGACATCTGCGTGCGCCAGATGGCCCAGGCCGGCGCCCGCGTCTTCCTCCTCGCTCGCTCCGCCGACAAGGCGCAGGCGGCCATCGCCTCGCTGCGCGCCACCGACGTCGCCGCTGCGGGCCGCGTCGAGCACATCCAGTGCGACCTCGCCAGCCTCGCGAGCGTCAAGAAGGCCGCCGAGGACATCATCGCCAAGACGGACCGCCTCGACGTGTGTCTCAACAACGCCGGCGTGATGGGTGAGTAGTGCGCGTGTAGATGGATGCGCTGCAGTGCTGAGCCGGTCACCCAGCGATGCCGTACGTCTTCACCGAGGACGGCCTCGAGATGCAGATCGGCACCAACGTCGTCGGGCACTACCTGCTCACGCTCCTGCTGCTGCCGCTGCTCGTCAAGACGTCGCTGCTGCCCGAGCACGCCGAGCGCAGCGTGCGCATCGTGCACGTGTCGAGCATGGGCCACAAGAGCCCGCTCTCGACGACGGACTGGAGCAGCCTCGAGAAAGTCAACCAGCGCGGCGGCCGCCTCGAGTCGACGGCCACGTGGTACCGCTATGGCACCAGCAAGACGGGTGCGTGCTAAAGCAGGGCGCTCGCGGTGGTGCGACGCACAGGTACATGCTGATGCTGACCCTCTCTGTTCTGCAGGCAACATCCAGCTCGCCAACCGCTTCTCGGCGCTGCTCAAGTCGCTCGGCGCCGAGCGCGTCTACAACCTCAGCCTGCACCCGGGTGCGCACTCTCGCCGCCGCCCTCACTGCCCGCGCTGACACCCCTCAGGCGTCATCAAGACGAACCTCACGCAGGGCCCGATCCAGTCGTACGGCGCCATCGCCGGCCGCGCCATCGGCTTCATGACGCGCTTCCTCACCACGGCCGAGGACGGCGCGCGCACCTCGCTCTACGCCGCCACGTCGGCCGAGGTCGACGCCAAGAAGCTCGACGCCGCCTACCTCGTGCCCACGGCCAAGCTCGCCCAGTCGACGGCCTACTCGCGCGACGCACAGAAGGGCGACGAGATGATGGCCTTCTGCGCCGCCTTCGTCAAGGAGAAGGTCGGCGTCGACGCCGAGGCCATCAAGGCCGAGGTCAAGCAGATCCTCGCCGCCAAGTGAGGCTACGCTCCCGTCCTCATCTCGTTCTAGCCGATACGCTGCCCTAGTTACCCCTGCTCGACGCCGCTGCCCTTCTCTGTGCGTACCACCATAATGCGACTCTCCTTCATCCTGTCGCTGCAGCGTGCGCTCAACATGGGCCTAGGGCCTGGCATTGGTCTCGGCGTCAGTCGGAGGGTGGAGAGGGGGATAGTGAAGTGGATGACACGCTTCCGCACGAGCGGCAGACGGATGCGAGGGGCGCAGGTGAGTCTGTGGCCCGCCTCTACTTGCTGCGCAGCCCGCAGCCGTTCACGAGCGCGACCTCGCATCTAGGCGACGCTTGCAGGAGATGAGAGCGGCCGGGCGGTGGGCATGGACTTTGTTGAGCCAACGAGGGTGGGCAGGGGCGATGGAGGACAGCACGCGAGCCTCAGAAGGTCGCTGAGAGCGTGGAGACAGCAGTGAGACAACGCAGTACCGCCTCGTGCCGCAGAGGACCCCCCACTGGCTCTGACATGCAGCTCAGCGCAAGTACAAGTTGCTTCATCGTGCCGCAAAGATGTAGGGCTGTTCCTGCGGCGACCCGGCTTCAACGAGCTTCCCGAACACGTCTTGACGCTCGTCATCACGCCACGGCTCGGCAGACGAGCCCCGGACGACTGGCCTGAGCCCAGAAGTAGGCGGTCCTACAGCAGCCCAGGTTGTCCGTCGTGCTCAACCCTCGCGATCGTGGCAATCTGGGTCGAGTGCCACGCGTCTCCACCCAACGGGCGCGGCACACGTTTCCGAACGAAGCTGCCACGCCTGAGCCGGAGCAGCTCCCTGTCAGCGGCGGAGCCGTTTGACGGGCGGCGCGTCGCGACGCCGGCGTCCCGCGCAGACTGCACGCAAATCGTATGAGGTGACATTGGTATTGCAGGCATCTAGCAGAACAGCCGCGCGCGCGCAAGCAGCCGTCGTGCTGTGGAGGAGGAGAAGGGGGCGAATGGAGCAAGACAAGCTGTCGGAGGTCCGGAGAGGCACAAGCCGCGGTCACGGCAGCAAAGCTCGGCCGTGGAGTGCATAGCGAGTGCCCTGGTGTATCACCAAAGCTCTCAGGAGAGCAAAGCGCGCTACGGCCGTTTGGGCACAGTGGCGCCAAGGCGGTCCTCGAGCGAGGCGCGGCTGCTCTTCCGAATGTCCCACGCGAAGCCGTCGCTGCCTGTGAGAATGCGCGGCTTGTCTACGCCCTGCGCGACAGAGACGTCGCTGTCGGTGGACTCCCACGGCGCGAGGTACATGGAGAAGAGTGCCGGCACAACGCAGTAGCTGTCAAGCACGTCGGTCTCGAGCATGTACTTGAGTTGCTCGTCAAAGGGCCGGCTGGCGGTGCACGTCAGCAGCGGCAGGCAATTCGCCACGCAGGTACACTCACAAGGGCACGTGGTTGATGTGGTAGAGCATCTTCATGGCGCCTCGCAGCGTCAGCACGTAGGCCTGCGAGCCCATCGGGTGGCGACCCTTCTGAATGATGCGGCGCGGCGGCGCCAGCTCTTCGCTGTGCTCCTGCTTGGGCAGCGCGATGCGGTAGTCATTGTAGACCCAGCGGTTCTGCGGCTCCGTCTTCTCAAAGTCGGCCATCGTGTCGTCCTCGTACGTCACGTAGGGGCGCGGTCCGCCGGCCTCGTTCCACGAGGCCTCGTGCGTGTGCCCTGCAGGCCAGGTCAGCCCTGGCGCAGCAGCGCCACATCATCGCGCCGACGCACCGAACCACAGCACGTCAAAGTCGTTCTCACCCCACGGCGCCCACGCCGAGGGCCGCGTGATCCTGGCGTCGGGGTGCAGCGACTGCCTGAGCGTGGCGAGCGGGCCCATGAGGCGCTGCAGCGCCACGCGGAGGTCGACGTCCCAGTCCGCGTCGTCCTCGATCACGAGCGCCGACGTGAGCTTGCGGTCGACAATCTCGCGCAGCACATTGGCATGGCCGCGCAGGGCGCCCAGGTGGCCGATCATGTCGGGCGCCTGCTGATGCTTGATCGTCTTGCCGTCGACGCCGTCGCGCACGTCGATCTTGAGCCCGGCCGTGTGTGCGAGCAGGTAGAGCTCGTCGCGCTTGTCGGGCCGCGTGGGCATGTTGACCGCAAAGATGGCCCTGGCAGAGGCATGAGACCAGGTGCTGCAGGGCATAGCCCTCACTCCACTCACTCGAAGCCGAGCGTCTCGTTGAGCGGCAGCAGCGTCGTGGTGTCGCCGCTGTACACTTGCGGCAGCGTCTCGCGCGTCGGTGGCGGCAGATGCAGCGAGCTGGGCTGCATGCGCACACGGGTAGCCACCATGCGCTCGCCGACGGTGCCGCGCACGCGCCACGCAGCCCAGGCGGCATAGCCAAACGTGCAGAGCAGCAGCGAGTAGAGCAGCACGCGGCAGCGGCCGAAGCAGGGCGGGCACGAGCGGGGGGGGGGGGGGGGGGGGGGCATACACCGCGCCCCTCAAGAGGGACCAGGGTAGTGAGTACCATAGCGGCGCCATGAGAGGCCACAGCTGCTACAGATGCTCCATTGAGATCAAAGGATGATTCTGCAGCCAAAAGCTCCTCGCTACACTGGGCAACATGACGGGCAATTGCACTTCTCTCCCCGTCGTCGAGGCGATCGGAACGCGCAGCATGCGCACTCTTACTGCGCGCTCGTCTCGGTGCCGTGGGAACGCAGCGCTACAGGCAGGCTGATTGCGGCCACAGACAGCCCCCTTCGATGCACGACGGCTAGATGCTCAGTCCTCCAGCTGCACAAATCTATGACAGCGGCCATTCCTTTCTGCACCTCGCGGGATCGTTCGCCGCAGCCGTCTCACGCTCGTTGGCTGTGGCCAGCAGCCCAAGGCGCAGAAACTGTAAGACTTTCCGATGGTGACGGTCCCGCGAATCGTACATGTGGAAAGAAGCAGAAGGCGAGAGCGGCGAGACAGGGATGATGCAATCGCAGAGTGGTCGGCTGCTTCCGACGGTGAATCTATGGGAGAAATGCTAGGGGCTGATACAAGGGTGACGCGAACGGGACGGCGGACTAGCCGAGCTTGTCCTCCTCTTCTGAGATCACATGGGTCGGCAGGCGGATCGCAGTGTGCGGCGGCGAGTCGCTGCGCTCGTCCATCGACTGGTCTGCCGACTCGTACTCGGTGTCGTGCGCGTCCGTCTCACGCGCATCAAAGACCGTCTCGGACTGCGCAGGCTTTGGCGGCGGATTCGTGCTGTACACGACCATGCTGAGCACGACGACGGCGACGCCCGCCGCGCACGCCAGCGTGATGCTGTACGAGAGAAAGACGGCCGAGAAGAGAAAGGTGAGGACAATTGCGAGCGCCACGGCGAAGCCCTTGGCCACATTGTCGGCCACCTTGACGACGAGCGAGACGAGCAGGCCGCCGGAGACGTTGAGCAGCACGCTCGCCCACGCCCAGGCGCCAAAGTAGCGCATGGGCGCCCAGTGCCCCTGCGCATCCATGGCGTTGGTGAGCAGCGGGATGAGCGCGGGCACGAGACTGAAGGCGGAGAGCTGTGCGTTGACGGCCCAGAACTCGGCCTGGCCCTTGAGGATCATCTCGGTGTACACGCCGGCAAAGCCCGAGATGACGCAGGCCGTGGTGATGGCAATGAGGCCCGTCGCCGCGCCCGAGAGCGCGAAGCCCGGCGGCGGCGAGCCTGGCGGCGGCGGCGCAGATGCGGGGCCGTGGGGCGAGCCCTGCTGCACCAGAATGACGCCCAGGCCCAGCGCCGCCACGCTCGTCCACTGCCAGCGCGAGAGCTTCTTGTGCAGCATGAGCGTGGCGAAGAGGGCTGTGCTGATCAGCTTGCCCTGCGAGAAGGTCTGCAGCAGTGCGCCGTCTGGAGCGGACGTGAGCAACGCGACCGCCATGCGGCGCCGCTCTACTCACCCATGTGCGAGGCGGCGACGAGCTGCAGGTTGTTCTGGCAGACGTAGAGCAGCGCAGGGATAGCCAAGCGTAGGCCACTGCGCTCGAACACCGTCGCGGCCACCTCGGCGGCGGCGGTGCGCCACGTATTCACCTCCCACAGGCCGGTGCGCTTGCCTTCGCCTTGCACTTCATCGGCGTCTGCATCAGCGGCCGAGGGCGCCAGCGGCAACCAGTCGCCGCCGGCGGGCGTGGCCGCAGCGGCAGCGGCGTGCAGGCGCGTGTAGAAGAGCGCGCTGAGCGAGATGAGCACCTTGAGCAGCTCGACGAGGAAGACGGCCGTGGGGCCGAGGTAGATGTGGCCGTCGGCATCGGGCACGCGGCTGCGCGCCATGACGAGGCTCAGCGCGCTGTTCTGCACGGTGAGCAGGCCGAGGGCGCCAAGTTTGACGGCGTTGGACGACATGGCGGGCAGGTGCGGCGGTGGGGTGTGAAGGTGCGGCCGGCGGCCGAAAGGCGGGAGAGGCGCTGCCCGCGGCCAGCCACGGAGCGCACAGCGGAGGAGCGAGGCGAGGAGGAGCGAATGCGGCGCGGCAGCAGCGCGGCGGCCGAGGCGGGGTGATCCGAGCGAGCGATGCGTGAGAGGAGAGAACGAGAGAGCGTGGAGGAGTGTTCGGACGAGGAGAGAGAGAGGCGCAGAGATGTGGAGCGGCGAGCGCCGGTGGTGGTGGGTGGCAAGCAGCGGCACCCGGGCGAGGTGCGGCAGGGCGGTCGGACGCGAGCACGCCGCGATGCGGACGAGGCCGCGCGCGCGGCGCGGCAGCAGCGTGCCGCCGCCCGGCGGCGCGGCGCGGGGCTGGCTTGTGGGTGTCTTTTGGTGCGCGTCGGGCGCCGATGCCGGGTGCCGCCGCCTTGCCGCCCTCACAGGCGATGCCACACCGACGGCGCGCACTCAGCAGTAGAGTGTCAGGCAGCTTTCCTCATCTCTGACAGGCCGCCGGTCCGCCGGCAGAGCGGCAGGCGCCTGGTGAGGCAGCGCCGCAGCGCGGCCGTCTGGCCGTCTCGCGTCTGTGCGGCAAAGCGACGCGGCGAGCTTCTCTGGCGGCGCGGCGTTCGTGTCTGTGCCGTGCTGCCGTGCTGCGCTGCTGCTGCGTCTGGGGGCTGCAAGCAAGAGGCTAAGTGTTGCATCCTGCATTCGATTGCACTCTAGCGTCTGTCCCGCCCGCGTCTGAGCGCAGCCGGTGCTTGGTCCAAGCTCTGCTGCAGGCTGCTGCGCAGCGGTTCATTGCCCACGTCTGCAGCACGGGGCTGCGCGCTGGGCGGAGAGATGCACCCGAGAGGCGCGTGCGACACGCGTGGATCATGAGAAGCGCTTTGACTCGCCTGCCGCCTGCATGGCCGTCGCTGCCTGTTGCTGCGACGGCTCGCAAGCAGCAGACAGATGCTCTGCTGTGAGGGCGCGGATAGAGTGCCTGCGCTGTCCGTCGCACCCGTCGGCATCGCAGCGGCGGGTGTGTCTGCCGTCGCCGTCTCGCCCTCTTTCGCTTGGGGAGGCAGCGCCAGCAGCGACGCAGGGTGCAGGGGCGCGGCGGGAAGATGAAGGTCGCGGCGCCAGCACAGACGCGAGACGCGGCGGCGGGGGCAGCAGGGGTGCGTGTGGCGGCGGCGCTAAGGTACGGAATTTGCCAGATCTCGCCTCAGCGGCAGACGGCACAGGCACGCCCGGCTGCCGGCCGCGGATGCTGCGCCAGCTGCGGCGCCGCGAAGCACAGCATGCAGAGCATCTCTGGTGCTGGCGGCAAAAGGGCTGCACGAGGAGCGCCAGTACCGACCTGCGCTGAAGCAAGCTGCTCACTAATCCACACAGCACGCAGAACGACCAGGCTGCGGCTGCGGCAGCGGTGTGCTTCTCTCGCGTCTCTGCGCGTTGCGGAGCTGCAGGAGGCGGCGCTCCTTCTTCAGCGCTGCCAGGGGGCGCGCGTCGCAGCCGCAGGCATGCCGTCGCTCCGGCCTTTCGGGTCGACGGCAGCCGCTCAGCGGCGGCGGAGGCGATGGAGCCGCAGCGCACCTTCCTTTTGCGCCTGCGGCTGCAGCTGACGGGCGCGGGCGGGCGAGTGCGGCGGCGGCATGCTGCATGGTGCAGCTGAGACTGCGCTGGTGCCCGCTCCCGTGCCTTCTGCAGAACGCCCGAGCACGCTACGCCGCACGCCGCGCATCCTGGATCTCAGCAAGCGGCGGTACGGCGGCCGGGCGGCGGCGGCGCAGCGCCAAGGCGGGCACGAGCGCTGTGCCTGCACAGTGCGCGCCTGCGCTGCCTCCGAGACCGCGTGGCTCGCGGCGTGCAGCCGTCGCGCAATTCACTTTCCGCGCCACTCATCACTGAAATCTGCCCGGCACTCTGACTTGAAGCTGCACTCAACCGCCGACACCCGCGGAGCAGCTGCCGCGCGCGCAGGAACGCCGAGGCGAGGCGCTCGCCTCCTTGGCGATAAACTCGCGGCCGCCCTCGCTGCTGCCGGCGGCTGCTGCACTCAGCACCCGGCGTGCCGTTGCGCCTCTCTCCTCTGCTCCACCACCCCCCTAGCCGTTCCCCTCTCCCACTGCTTCCGCGGCCTGCGCGCACCATGGTCTCCCAGTACGAAAAGGACGACGAGCAGAGCGAGCCGCTCATGCTGCCGCTCTACGGCGCGCGCGCCGATGTGCCGCGCAGCCCCGAGCCCTCGCGCCGCGTCCGCCGCACCCGCTGCGCGCCCGTGACAAAGGTGAGTGGTGGACAGGTGTGCGGCAGGTCCGGCAGTGCGGCTGCGATGGATCAGGCGTTGTCGCAGGCCAGGCAGTGCCGCTGTGACGGGTGTCGTGGCGCGGGCAAGAGAGCGCTGCCCTGCTTCGCCGGCGCAGGCCTGGCTGGCCCTCCTCGCTCTCGCCGCCGCTCCGCAGCCCCTCGACTGACACCACGGCCTGCAGAACCCGCGGCGGTATCTCGTGCCCTTGCTATACGTCTTGCTCGGCGTCGGCCTCACGTGCATCTGGCAGGCCGAGACGACGTCCGTCATCCTCAGCAACCTCAAGCACGGCGTCTTCTCGGCGTCGCCGCCACCCGTGCCCGAGGTGGAGCCGCCGGTGCTGCCCGACTCGCTCGACCAGGTCATCGTGCGCAAGCGCGGCGCCAAGATTGGCTACGTCACGCTCAAGTTCGGCAGCGGCTCGCGTCACAGCGACCCACTGCCGCCGCCGCCGGTGGCGCTGGACGCTGACGGCAAGGCCATCAACATCACCGTGCCCTACAACCCCTACGACCTCTCCATCGACCTGATGCAGAACTATGCACGTCGATGGGGTTACCCATTCTGGCTCGTGCGCGAGGAGGTGCTCCGCGGCCCGCAAGGCGGCGGACAGACCGGCAGTGCGTTTTGCAGCCTCGCGGCAGGATAGCAGCGTGCTGACGACTCTCGCCTCCCTCAGTGTGGTCGAAGCCCGCTGCCCTCCTCTCCCTTGTCACCGACGAGCTCCGCAAGCCCAAGGCGGACCGCCTCGAGTGGATTTTGTGCGTGGCCTGTGTTCCTCGGGCTCACGCATGCGCTGACTGGTGCGGCTCCAGGTACTCGGACGCCGACTTTGTCGTGACGAACCCCAACGTTCCTCTCGAGATGTTCCTGCCGCCCGACACCGAGTTCGGCCGGACGCAATCGTTCCTCATGGCGCGTGACCAGTGGGGCCCCATCAACGCCGGCGTGCTGCTCGTGCGCGTTGCGCCGCAGAGCATCAAGTGAGTCTGGCAGCAGACGGGCGTCACGCATGCCGCGCTGACCCGTGCTGCAGGATCCTCTCGACGATCATCGCCGCTCCGATCTACGAGCCGCAGCACTCGTGGTGGAACGGCGAGCAGACGGCGCTGGGCATGGCGGGCTCCAACAACGAGCTTACCGACAGCATCGCCATCGTGCCGCCGCATTGGTTCAATGCGGACATGTTCGGCACGTTCCAGCCGAACCACCAGTTCAAGACGAAGATCTGGTACCCGGGAGACTTTGCCTGCCACCTGATGGTGAGTTGCGAGAAACGCTGCGCAGAGAGCACCGCTGACGCGTACGCTCCGCTCCCACAGAGCGCCGACAGTGCGTTACACCCATGCTGATTAATCACGCCTGGCCTGCCGCTGACACTGCTCGCACCGCAGAGACGGGATGGGATGCGCTGCTGAACGCCGTGTACCCGGCCAACAACATCAGCCGCGCCGTCGCGGGCGCGGTGCGCGTGCCGGCACCCGAGATCGCCGGCGCGCGCCTCGACGTGCCGCTCAACGAGACGCGCTACATGACGGGCAACGATACGGTGGCCATGTGGTGGGATTCGTGGGCGGCCATGAACGCCACGGAGCGGCGCACCTACGTCGCCGACTCGAGCCGTCAGAACTAGATTGCCCGGCCGCAAGCGCGCGCCGCCTCTCGCAAGCTCTGCAACCCCGGACCTGCTCCCGCTGCCTCTTTTGGAATGTCACCTATCTAGCCGGCGAGCGGGATGAGGCTTGACGCGCGGTCTCGTTAGCAGCTGTCGATGGGTGCGCTACGATGCCGGCGATGATGTGCAAGCACGCGGCGTCCACGAGCCTCGCAGCACTCGCTGGATGGGCACCCTTTGCTCTGTCTGCAGCTGCCTTGCCAGCCGTAGAACGGACGAGTCCGTCTGCGTGGGCGTTCGCGCATGGACACCAGGCAGACTCAGCGAGAGCACAAAGCGCTGCACAGACAGCGCCGTCCGCTCCGCTGCCCGTGCGGTGCATCTCAAGTCCGCGGCTGAGCATGCTTCATGACGAGATGTCTGTGCGCTGGTGGCGGACCTCGCATGTCGGGGTCGGTGGTGCTCTGCTGGCGTGCTACAACACCAAACGGCTCCCGCGCTGGCTGCCGCGGCTGGCCAGTGTCAGGAGCTCGTCGCAGTCCGACGGTGGGCATCCGTTCGCTTGCACTGGCGCTGCTCGAGCCGCGAGGTCTCCTCAGCGCGCGAGCGCATGGAGCATGTATGCCGCCGATGTGAGGGTTATAGACCTCTGAACAGCAAAGTGTCAGGACCCAGCGCGAGCAGCCGGCAATCGCGTTATGGTCGCAGGTGCCTTGCGACCCGATCGCGCCGCCCATCTGCTGCTGAGGTGGATGCTGTCAATGAGCGGTCAGCGAAGCGTCTGGCGCTCCGTGGATGATATGCTTCCTCGTCGGCAACGGGGACTGTGTTGCAGCCCGCCGGCGAGGGAGAGCAGCGTGCAGTGTGCGTGAGCAGTGGTGCTGCGCCAGTGCATTCAGTGTGCAGCGTCGCTCACCTGCGTTCCCACGCGTACGGCATCGCTTCCCGCCCGTCGCCTCGTGCATCGCGACTGCTGCGCGCTTGTGACATCTCTGCCTCAAGCAGATGCGTCTCTGCGTCAGAATCGCACCAAAGACAGCCCCAGGACTTGATGTTTGAATATTATCGCACTCTTTGCGGACTGCAGCTGACCGCTGTGGCTGCACTGAGCGTCGCCACGGCCAGCAACTCAGCCACGCCTGTCGCGCAGCGAGCGGTGAAGCGAGGGCAGCTGCAGGGCTTGGAAGAGGGAGACAGGTCGAAGGAAAGACCCGCAGCTCCTCAGTATGCAGCGAGTGTCTGAGAGGGTATAAGAGTGCTATTGTGATTGGGAGGCGAACGTTCGATCCAGCAGCTGACTTCCTACAGAAAAGGCGATTCTAAGGGGATCAGGTGGATGGAGGCCGCCTCGAAGTGGATGTAGAGAGAAGAGCACGAGACGCTGAGCTTAAGGACAAGAATCGTGCTGCGCGTGAGCCTAAAGACTCGAAGTGATTCGTGAAAACCAGGCCGACTTTGGTCAGCTTGCGAATCTGCGCGCAAACGTGACACGAAGCCTGCTGCGGCGAATGGAAGGGCCTTCGCGATCCGCCCTCAGAGCTGGCCACGCGCGAGAAGGATGGTCGTGCCGAGCTCAACGGGGTCGGCCCACGCCACGCCGACCAGGCAAGCACCGACTTCGACGTAGATCTGCTGATGGCGCTTCAAGTGCTGGGCAAGACTCGACGGCGGCAGGAATGCCGCTGGCAGATCACCGTCCGGCTCGCGCACGTCCGACTCTGGGGCGGGGCCCGTCGGTCGAGCGAAGGTCGATGAGAGCGAGTAGAGAGCACGGCCTGTCGTCGCGCGGATGCGAGACGAGGCCGAGGCCACAGCCGTGGCAGACCGTGCGACGTGTGGAGACCATGTGTTGCGCGCCCACAGCTCGCGGCTCGATCGCATGAAGTGTCCTGCCTTCACAGTCTGGAGGATCGATCGCATGCGATGCTTCTCGAGCGACGGCGTGCGTTGGTAGCAAAGAGCGAAAGCGGCTTCGGGCCCTTCGGAGATGAGCGACCAGCCGACACGCACTACGTCCTCCAGCAAGATGCTGCTGCCGCGTCCGCTGGTGTAGAGAGTCTCGGCGAGCGGCGTGTTCAGCGTGTTGATGAAGCTCGCGGAAGCCATGATGGTAGTGAGGCCGATGAGCATGTCGGGCACGCGCTCCTGACGGCGAAACGCCACCGGTAGGCCCGGCGAGTCGAAGGTGATGGCATCGTGAAGCGGGCCGCTGCCGCCCCCCTGGCTTCGAAGGTGGTGCAGCAGGAACTCGGAGTAGGATGCGCCCAGCGAGTGGCCCGCACACGTGATGTGGTGCGTCGACGGATCAATGCCATGGTGCGCGAGAATCTCGGCGACGCGAAGGGCTCTGGAGACGGCACACTCGGTCCATCCGGCGACGGAGCCGTGGAGCGAGGCGCGCATCAGCTCACCGCATGCACCCGCATCCGCGAGAGTGGTCGTGCCGCGCTGGACGATGGCGTACGCAGGCTTGTCGCGATGAGCCCACAGCCAGATGGCGCCCTCGTCGTAGATGTCCACCAGTGTCCACGGCCCGATGATGAAGCCGAGCTGAGCGACGTGAGGGGCGCCGTACGCCAGGACGCAGAGCGTAGCGAGGTCGGACTTGTGCGGCGCCGGGCGGACTGCGGCGGGTGGAGCGGAAGGAGGTGGCTCCGTCGCGGGTGGAGCAGGACGCGGGCGGACTGCGGCGGGCGGAACCGCCGGCAGTCCGCGCACACAGATGCGGAGGACGGAGAGAAAGGCGCGGAGGTGGGAGAGAATGTCGCGCAGAGGGCGCACCGAGAGAATGAGAAGGAGAAAGCCGTTGAGAGCGACGAGTGATGCGATGAGGAAGTCCATACGAGTCAAGGGATAGAGAGGCGTGGTGGTGGGATGCACAGATGCCTTGCGCTGGCTGTCCCGCTCTGGACAGCAGCGGGGCGCGGCAGCGCATCTGGGGCGGGGCGAGAGCGGCGGATAAAGTCACGCCAAGCGGCACGCGCGAAAGCGGCGCTTCGCCCTGCGGGCCTGGCTTGGTCCACAGCCGAGCTCTCAAGAACGCAGCGATCGCATCCTTTGCCGGCGATTGCGCTGGCCTAGGTGCCTGGTCGATCGCCCGCATGCTGGGCTCCAGCGCTCCGAGTCCGTGCGCGCTGGGTCACGCAGCTGCAAAATCGGGGTACGTCCGTCGGTCCCAAAAGCTCGGGTCTGCGCTAGCTGGAGCGGAGCCGGCGGGGCGCGGCATGCGCGACAGCGTGCGCCGCGCACGTGGGCGGGCGCGCCAAGCCGTCAGCGGCGCCAGCGGCCCAGCCTCGCCCAAGAGCGCTTGCTTTCACAATCTCAGCGATGAGAAGGGCAGCGCACAGCGCAGCGGATGTGCGGTGAGCTGGACGGCACGGCGCGGCGGGCAAGCCACACGTCGATCATAGGGCACGCAGAGGCGTCAGGCAGCAATTTCGTGTTTGGCGTGTTGGACTAGCTCGTGGACCTGCATGCTGCGGGGGCGGGGCTGAATCTCACGCTCGCCGCGCCGCTCGCCCGCGGGAACCAGACTCCTTCTCGGTGCGCGCCGCTGTGCTGGATCCTCCGAGCCGCCGGATTCCCCGCTGCTTCACTAGCACAGCGACGGGATGCGCAGACCGCAGCACAGCACATGCGCAAGCCATGAAGAGTCTCGGCGGCACGTCACGGCGCCCAAGCCACGCGCCGATGAAGGCGCACGAGAGCTGCCTGCACCGGACCGGCACCGGTCGCTCTCGACGCGAGCGGCGAACGCATCTCTCTGACGCGCATGCGCGCCGCTGCGTTGGATCCTCGGGGCTGCCGTCTGCCGCACCCGGAGCGGGGGGCGCCGGGCGCCGCGCACGCGCGCATGCACCACGAGCAGCTGCTCTCGTGGTCCGATCTGCTTGATCGCGGCGAGGGGCCAACCGGCGGGGTTTGGCACGGGTACGCAGCGTGGGCATGGCTTGCTGGCTCAGATGCGGCGCCTGGCGTCATCGCAGGTCTACAGGCAGGCGGCGTTCCTTGCCGTCGCAGATGCGTCCACAAGACGACACGCTCCACAGACGCCTGTGCCGGTGGCAAGCAGGCTCACTCTGCGCACTTTGGCGCTCGAGACTTGCACAAGGATTTGATGCCCGCTGCGCACGACGATTGGCGGCGGAGCCTGGTCGCTCTGCTTCAATCCCGCCTGCATCCAGCCTCAGCTGGACCGGGCAACCGCGCAGGTGGCGCCGCCGCCGCCGACGTCGACTGCGAGGCGCAGGCTGGCACGCTCGTTGGCGCTCTCTCACTCCGCTTGGCCGAAGAGCGGCCAGCCTGCGTGGCCCGGCTCTCGCCTGCACCTGACGGAACAAAGCGTGACGCAGGAGCCTGCTCGCGACACTCGCGTCCACCTCGACGCCTCGCAGCGCAGAGAGGAGAGCCAAGGCCAGAAGCACCATCTCATTGATCTTCCTCAGCAACCCAACTCTCCACTTTCCTCTCCGCGACCTTCCTCCCGTTTCTCCATGCCGTTCTTCCATGCGGCGGCGCCAGAACCGCTTCTTGCACCGACGCACAGTCATGCAAGAGCGTCGCAGTCCCTTCGGCGCCTAGCTCCGCGGCCAAGTCGATGGCGCGAGGCTCAAGAGGAGAGGCAGGAGATGGGAAGCCGGCTGCGTAGGCGGCATTTGTGGTGACCATTTGCTGTGCGGCGAAGGTAAGCGTGGGAAGAGGGCAGCAATCGTGGGCGACGTACGAGAAGTAGCTCGAGAGAGTCGGGCGTTGCGTCCCTAGCGCAAAGAGGGTCAGCTCGAGGACTCGATGGCGCCGGGAGGGTGGAGGGGGGCCAGCGAAGGAGAGGGGAGACTCACTGATACACGCCCACCAGCATCGGCAGCAGCGCAAGTGGATCACCATCTCCTTGCGGCGTGAACAGGTTGCCCACATTGCTGCGTCGTTGTCCGCCTCATCAGCCTGGCTGATCCTTGTCAAACGGCTGCACGCTTGCACTCACTTGACATCCACCGCCACTCTCACGCCTCTCCTTGCCAAGTCCAGCGCCGGCAATGTTGCTCTTGATCTCCTCGAATACTCCACGTCTCGTCCTTGCATGTACAGATCCGAGTGTGGCAACGCTACAAAGGCGACTTCTTCGCCCTTGCATTCTCGCGCCAGACGATCGAGATCCTGCTCTGCAAACGTCGAAATAACCGTGGCGTGGCCCAGCGTCAGTCGTCTCGTGCGGCCGTGGACGAGCCAGGTGTGCTGCTTGAGCATCGCCAAGGCGTCCCAGAGTAGAGGCGAGGCGGGATCCAGCGTATAGTCGATGTGCAGATCCACATCCCTGCCGAACTCTTGCGCGAGATCGAAGATGAATTGGAGTGCTCGGAGGGAGTTGTGGCGCGACGCCTCGACATAAGGGGCGCATCCGACGGCGCCGACTCCCTCGTGCGACGCGGCGCTGCGCAGCAGCTCATGCATGTGCGCCTCGTATGCGGCGTCGGGGTAGAAGAGGGCGTCCTGTGCAAAGGCACAGAGAACAACGGCGCAGCGCGAGGCGAAGCGCTGTCGGAGGGAAAGACCGGCCTGGAGACAGAGATGAGAGACGGTAGGATCCACCTGGTGTCGTCGAGGGGATCAGAAAAGAAGGAAAGGGGAAGGGGGTGAGGCAACGGACCTCGACGTGTGCACGCATGCCGACTACGCCATGTGCCAGTGCCGCGGCGATGAATCGCGCTCCTCGCGCCTCGACCTGCGGAAAGAAGCAGAGTGAGCGCAGGCGGCATGTGCGGAAGGGTGGAGGGAGGACGTACGTCGGCCTGTGTGAAGTGCGCCTTGCTGACACTCGGGTGTCAGTCTTGCACTGGCTGGGCAGCAGAATGTGGCCTCACGCGGCGCTGGTCTTCTTCAGGGCCTCGTCGAACGTGCTGTGCGAGGCGAGAGCGGACGAGGAGCGAGGCAGCCGTCAGCCATCGCCCTTTGCTCTGCCTTGCCTCTCACGCACCCATCGCCCAGCGAGCAGCATGCGTCGAGCAGGTAGCACTTGTCGAGATGGACGTGTGCGTGGTGCAGTGCGCCGGGCAGGACGAGGTCGGGCATCGCGGCGAGGGTGGGCTGCGATGAGCGGGCTGCGCGGCGCTGCGTGTGCCGTGCGCCGTGTGCGTTGTGCGCTGTATGGCTTGCAAGGCTGCGCGCTGTGGTGGGGAGAAGCAAAGGCGGCGGCGAGAAGTAGGCGCGCCGGCTGAGCAACGCCGCGGCGAGGTGCCGCGATGCCATGTGGAGGTCCGTCGTGCGTCACGCTCCTCTCGCCGCTCGCGCGCGCGCGCCGCATGCGCACCAGCATCGCAGCGCACTGCAGCGCACATGGCGCGCTCGTCCCTCACACCGCACACACCAGGAGTACGTATGGCATGCCCGGGGCAACATGGGGCGTCAGGGGGGTATCGCTGCACAGGCCCGGCTACTCGTCCGCCTCGATCCACGCCGAGATGCGCTCCCAGCCGACGTCTCGCTCCCGTCCCCACCATCCAACTGCACGTCGTCGTCGTCGTCGTCGTCGTCAGTCTCAGCTTCAACCATGCTCCTCCTGCGTGACTCACAGAGCAAATAGTCATGCACCGCGTCCCGGCACTCGTCCAGCCACACTTCTCGCTCCTCTCCACCTGCGCCCTCCTCTCGCTTGCCGTCCGTCACCGCCTCGCCCTCCACTTGCTGTGCGCCCGGCGGAGCTCTGACCTGCTCGTGCTTGGGCGCATGGCGCGGCAGCACGGGTCCGGGGATGGAGCTGCGGCGCGGCCGCGGATAGTTGGCTCTTGCCGCCAGCGCCTGCGCGTCGGCGTCGGCAGAGAGGCGGTCGCCGACGTAGATGGGCCGCGTGCGCCGCGTGCCCGCCGCAAGGCGATGCGCCAGCGTCAGGTGCTGGTCGTACGACACTTCGCCGTCGCCCGTGGTAATGTAGATGCGCCTCGGAAAGCCCTCGTAGCCCCAGCTGGGCGCCTCGACGTCGAGGTGCAGCGAGCAGGAGCTGAGGTACGGATTGCGGTACGTCTCGCTCGCCGGCAGCACACCGAGCAGAGCAGACACGGCCGTGTTGCGGAAGCCCGAGCCGGGAGGGATAATGTCGACGGCGCGGTTCTGGTACACCGACGAAAAGTGGTTGAGCGCATTGAGAGGCCCAGAGTGCGAACGCGAAGTGTCGGCCCACGGCGAGAGGAGGAGCATGCTGAGGGGCGGAAGAGTCAGTATGAATGACGAGGCGCAGGCTGGAGCCACGCAGGAGCGCAAGAAACTGCAGCCCGAGGAATGGCGTCCGCCTCCTCTTTACCGCGAGAGGCAAGACGCGTCGAGCAAGCCCGCGACCTTCCTCTCCGTCACGGAATACCCCCCCCCCCTATCTGCCGCCCCTCATCGCGCTTTCCATGCCCTGAACTGCTTTTCCCCCCCTCCCCCGTTCGTGTGCGGATCGCCAAGCCCGTCCGTCCGAGGGGCAGTCTCCAACGCCACACGCGTCTCGACAGGGCTGCGCTTCCCGTTCTCCTCCGTTTGACCCCTCGCAGCACAAGCTCGTCGTGAAATGCCTGCCTTTGCCTTTCCCCCCCCCCCCCCCCCCCCCCCCGGGCGCTTCCCACTCTCGCCTTCTCTCTTCCTGTCTCGGCGCATTGAAACTGCGTTCGCAACGCCGAGATCGAGCTCGTCTCGCGCTGCCCCGCGCATCCAACGTCGTCGCCGTCCTTGCCCTTGTTCGCCCTCCAGCATTCCCCTTGGCCCCTTGCACCTACTCGCCCGCGTCGCCTCCCTCGTTGTGCCAACTCACCTGCCAGGCACTTTCAAGCCCACATCTTCATCCCTCAAGTATCTGCACAGCGCCAGTGCCAAGTTGCCGCCCGCCGAGTCTCCCACGACGACGACATTGTCCTCCTCGAAGCCGCAGCCCTTGACCAGGTAATGATAGCCCGCCACGGCATCCATGAGGGCGGCGGGAAAGCTGCCGCGCTCCGGATGGCCGGGAATGCAGACGCGATAGTCGAGGGAGAAGGAGCGGCGGCAGTAGCCGGGCCCGACGACGGGCAGCGTGGAGCCCAGCGGCGAGGCGTCGAGCTCGACGCCGGGTGTGGCGGCATCGGCGTCGCGCCCGGCGCGGCGGCGGCGGCGCGCCTCGAGCTTGTGCAGCAGCTGCAGCGACACGGCCGCCGAGACGTCCTTCTCGTGAGCCGAGCCGATCCAGTAGGCGCCGCCGTGCAGATGCAGCACGACCCTTTCGCCCTTTGCCGCCGGCTGGCCCACGGCGCCGCCGTCGTCGCGCGCGCCGAACCAGAAGCCGCAGGTGCGCTCGTTGCTCACGCCCTGCGCCGCCATGGCGCGCCGGATCTCGCCGCGCAGCAGCGCGGCGGGCAGCGCGGGCACCCAGGTGAACTTGGAGTTGAACGTCTGCGAGTGCGGCACCTCCTGGCTGAGGTCGCGCGTGAAGGACGTGTGGGAGCGGTACGTGAGGCGTGTCGAGTGGCGGTAGAGGCGGATCAGCGTGGCCTTCTTCCAGCTCCAGCGGCGGCGCCCGCGCATGGCGGGCAGCAGCGAGGCGAGGGCAAAGTAGGGGAGAAAGAGGAGGCCGACGGTGAGGCCAAAGTAGGCATAGTAGAGCGCCTTGTAAGGGTAGCGCGACCAGAGGGGCGCCTGCTGTGCAAACTCGGAGCCGGCGCCGGCGCCCTGCAGGGGGAAGATGACGGTGGGCAGGGCGTGCACGGCGGCGAGGGCGGCGTTGGGGTGCGACCTGCGGCGCGCCTTGCGGTCGGCGGCAAAGGCGCGCGAGGGATCGGGGTCGTTGAGATCCTCGAGCGAGGACCAGTGCGGCGTGGGCGGCGCCGGCTTGTGCAGGAACGAAGGCAGCAGGGCGGAGCGCGAGTGCGAGGGCGAGGGCGAGAGGGGCGTTGAGGAGGAGGAGACGTCTGTGGAGGTGCCCTTGGAGGAGGAGGGCGCAACGGGCGCCGCCTCCTCGTGTGCGAAATCGCGCACGACATCTGGCGCCTGTGTGGTGGGCGAGACGGGCGCGGCCATGGTGGATGCGACGCTGTGGTGGTGGGCAGACAAGCGACGCTCCTCACAGCCAGCGCCAACTCAAGGGGCGCAATTGCCAAGTCGCGCCGCTTGCGCATCGGCTGACCGCCGCACCTCCACAAGGCAGCGTGGGAGCAGCGCGCACGTGACAGGCGCACAGGCCATGCTGCGAGGCATGCGCCTTGCCTTGCTTTCTTCCTGCTGGTGCCGCGCTTGCCCTGTCACTCCCACCATGCTCGCGCCCTTCCATCAGATCGACGTCTTTGCGCGCGCGCCCTACCGCGGCAATGCCGTCGCCGTGCTGCACGTCGCGCGTGCGCCGAGCGCCGCCGCCATGCAGCGCCTCGCCCGCTGGACGCAGCTGAGCGAGACCGTCTTTCTGCTGCCGCCGCCGCCGGGCAGCGCGGCGCACTTTGCCGTGCGCATCTGGATGCCCGAGGGCGAGCTGCCGTTTGCCGGACATCCGACGCTGGGCGCCACGCGCGCCTGGCTCGAGGCGCACCCCGACTTCAGCGGCGACGAGCTGCGCATGCACTGCGGCATCGGCACGGTGCGCCTGCGCATCGAGCGCCCCCACGCCGGCCACGCCGCGGCGGGCATGCTGCTCTTCTTCGCCGCGCCGCCCCTGCGCCACGCCGCCGTCGTCGAGCCGCACATCGTGGCGCAGCTGTGCGCAGCCATGCACATCGACACGGCCCACGTCGTCGAGGCGCAGCACATCGACAATGGCCCGCCCTGGCTGGCGCTGCGCCTGGCGTCGCCCGCCGCCGTGCGTGCCGTCTCGACACGGCACATGCACCAGGCGGGCGCGCTCATGTGGGGCGTCTTTGCCGCGCTGTCCGAGCAGGGAGAAGCAGAGCAGACGCTGCTGGTCCGCACCTTTGCGCCCGCCTCGGGCGTCGTCGAAGACGCAGTCACCGGCAGCTTCGCCGCCGGCCTGGCGCGCAGCAGCATGGCGCCCAAGCAGGGCAACTTTGTCGTCAGACAGGGAGAGCAGCTCGGCAGAGAGGGACGCATCGTGGTGCGCAGCATCGAGGGACAGAGCTGGATCGGCGGCTGCACCTCCGTCTGCTTCAAGGGCGAGGCGCTCGTGGAGGACGAGGAGGAGGAGGAGTAGGGCGGGGCAGTGCGAGACAGAGCGGCGGGGAGGGGGGGGGGGGGGGGGGGGGGGGGGGGGGGGGGGGGGGGGGGGGGGGGGGGGGGGGGGGGGGGGGGGGGGGGGGGGGGGGGGGGGGGGGGGGGGTGTGAGGGGCATCGAGCCCGCCAAGACAAGGACCGAAGAAGGGAAGGACGCAGAGAGGAGTCGAGGTGAGTCTTTGCACGCGATCGTAGCCTTTCACTGCGGCCTGATCCCCTCTTCCGGGCTGGCTGATGCGAACCTTTTGCCCCGTTCTTCCCTTGCCTATGCAACGCTTTCATCGATCGAAGCCTTCAGCCAGCGCGGCTTTTGGTCGTGCCCATGCTCGGCACAGAGCAACGGACCGCGTCACGGGCGTAGCGAAGACGATGAGCATCATGCGAGGGAGCGGCAGCTTCGCCAATGCGCAATGAGTCAATGACTCAACCTTTTTTGAATGCGCTCTTCGGCCCATTTGGTGCCCCAGGGGCCCGCTCTCCCGAATGAGCGCAAGCAAGCGGGGGAGCAGGGTAGATCACCAGCAGGGCGGGCGACGCGGGTGACCAGGAAGCAGGAGAAGCTGCCAGGAGGGGGCACTGACAAGCTTGGCGTGCCTTGATCCGCCAGCTTGGCTAGGTGGCGGACGATGATCAATCGTGGGGGAGAAATGGCAAGCGAGAGGGGGGTGGGGGGAAAGGGGCGGCGGGGGTTCCATATTTCCTCAACGAGACGAGACGCGAGACGAGAGAGACAAGGAGAGAGGTGACGAGAGCTTTGCTGGGCTGCAGGCTTGCGGGGCCACGCAAGCCTCTCGGGCAAGAAGGGACGCAAGGGCAACTGGGCGCGGCAAAGTCGGTGTGTCGTCGGTGTGCGACATGCA